TTTTTTGACGTATTCAAAATTCAAAGAAAATTTAATTTTTTGAGCTTCTTTTCTGTCCATTTAATGCCGTGCAAGAGCTTTCGAAAATCATTGGTTTATGATCGGGAACAGGGATGGCAAAATTGGTACGATGGTAACAGTACGAAGTACCGTTGTACTCCCGAGTCTTATTTGATACTCTCAGGGCCAGAAAGATAGATAAAGAATTTTTGTATGAAAACCTTTAATATATCGTTTCGATAAAAAAATAACAGGTTAAAGTATATTTAAAATTTCAAATTTTAAATTCCAAGAGTGTTTTAGCACATTGTTATATAAAATTCTCAAAAATACATCAACTAAAAGCCGTTTTTTCTAAAAAAAAATAATAATAAGATTATAAACGGCTAATAAAGTTGTATATATTTTTATCTTGATTGACATTATGTATGTTCAATAACAAATAATTGTTACAAATTATCATAAATTGTTTTTGTATTTCAATACAAATTTGAAATATTTTTGTGAAAATTAGTAACAACTTTTAGTTATTGAACAGACCCATTATATGAATATTAATCTTATTAAAATTTCATTGTTAATATTTTATGAGAAAATTACCAGAAATTTAAATTTTGAAATAATATTTGACTTTAAAACAAATTATTTCCAAATGATAGGAACTCGAAGGATTCAATCTACTATAAAACGATATGTTTTGAAACTAAGCATTTAACCAAAGATAATATAAGAAGTTTTAGGTCAAAAATATTTGGACTTTTAAGCAAATTATTGTTTCAAGTCATATTCAGAATCGGATGTACGAGTAAATATCCTATTTAAGGTCCCACGACGGATTTTAATTCAATAACACATATTTAAGCGATTTATTGACAATGAACAGTCGATACTAATACTTGTAGCTCAATTATTAGCATTAAGTTGAAATTCTAGACGTCATGAAATAACTCTCCACGAAATAACTCCCCAAAACAAAAATGAAAAAGTCCTCAAATTTGGGGACTTATTTCATTATGAAATAATTCCACAATTTAAAAATGAAAAAAGCCCTAACGAATTTAAATAACTTCGTAAATGAAAATGAAATAACACCCCATTTTTGGGGATTTATTTCATATGAAACAAATCCCTAATTTTAAAATGAAATAAGTTCCCATTTAAAAATAACAAATTACGGAATAAGTCGGTTTTAGTGACATTTCTACAAAAAATTTCGAGTGGGGCTTCAAAGTTTAATACATTTCAGTTTAATCGCTTAATGAAGATTCCCTTAATAGCCGGCCTGTGGCCGGGCGCAAGGGCTTTCTACTCTATGGTATGTCCAACAACGGCTTCGCTTAGTAAAGATTTTCTAAAAAGTGTTCGGCCTAGGGCCTTTTGATACAGGGAGAGTGTATTCTTAGCGAAGCCGGTGTCCAATGTACCCCAGAGGATAAAACCCTTGCGCCCGGCCGAAGGCCGTCTATCAGACATATATTTTTTATTTCGTGTGACAAAAGTAGTATAATGAAATGGCGTCATGAAATAACTCCCCACGAAATAACTCCCCAAAACAAAAATGAAATAACTCCTCAAATTTGGGGACTTATTTCATTATGAAATAATTCCTCAATTTAAAAATTAAAAAAGCCCCAACGAAATGAAATAACTCCCTAAATTAAAATGAAATAACACCCCATTTTTGGGGATTTATTTCATATTAAACAAATCCCTAATTTTAAAATGAAATAAGTTCTCATTTAAAAATTCGACATCTGAAGATAAAAATAACAAATTATGGAACAAGTCGGTTTTAGTGACATTTCTAAAAAAAGTAGGTTGCTCATACTTTCGAGTGGGGCTTCAAAGTTTAATACATTTCAATTTAATCGCTTAATAAAGATATCCTAAATAGCCGGCCTGTGGCCGGGCGTAAGGACTTTCTACTCTATGGTATGTCCAACAACGGCTTCGCTTAATAAATATTTCCTAAATAGCAGGCCTACGGCTGGACGCAAGGATTTACCACTCTATAATATGTCCAACACCGGCTTCGCTTAGTAAAGATTTCCTAAATAGCCGGCCTTAGGCCGAACGCTCTTAATACAGGGAGAGTGTATTCTTAGCGAAGCCGGTGTCCAATATGACCCAGAGGATAAAACACTTGCGGCCGGCCGAAGGCCGGCTATCAAACATACTATATTTTTTTATTTCGTGTGATAAAGTAATGTAATGAAATAACTCCCCAAAAATATTTTTAGGGATTTATTTCATTTTGGAATTTTGAGGAATTATTTCATAATGAAATAACTCCCCATTTTAAATGTGAAATAATGCTGTCCAATATGACCCAGAGGATAAAACACTTGCGGCCGGCCGAAGGCCGGCTATCAAACATACTATATTTTTTTATTTCGTGTGATAAAGTAATGTAATGAAATAACTCCCCAAAAATATTTTTAGGGATTTATTTCATTTTGGAATTTTGAGGAATTATTTCATAATGAAATAACTCCCCATTTTAAATGTGAAATAATGCCCCAAAAAGCGAATTAAATCCCCAAATTTCGTTGTTGTTGCTTTATGAACAAATTTTTAGGAAGTTATTTCATTTTTGTTTTGGGGAGTTATTTCGTGGGGAGTTATTTCATCCTTTTATAGGGCGAAATGTGGCCTGATTTTCATGACAGCTTTAAATTTAAGATATTTACATAGTACAATATCTGGCTAATATTTGAGATGTAAAAGGTGAACATTGAGGGACGGACAAGGATTCATCATATTAACATATAATGCCTTTCTACTTCTGTTATAGATTGTTTAAAAAAAATTAAATGTAAATGTAGTTAAGAAATTGCCATCATTTAGCAAAAAAAAATATTTTAGTACTTTGAGATCCAAAAAAGTACCCTCTGAAATATTTTTTGATACTGACACAAAATCTCATTTTCCATCCCTGATCGGGAATGCCCTGGACTCAGTGTTGCAAACTTAGTGCTTCTCACACTATTTATGGTTCTTTTAAATATCCCAGAGGGCAAAGTTTTTCTAAGGGTGCCATTTTTTAAATAGGTGGTTCTGCTGTGCTTTTCATATTTAGTGCTTTTTATAACATTTTAAATTTTTTATGATTTTCATGAGTTAAAGTATTATATATGTATATGTACATATATCGATTTAAACAAAATGATTAATCTATATATTAAAAAATGGCTAGACTGGACTTTTTGCCTTTATTATTTAAACGTTTTTGTAGACAGGGACTTTTGTTTTCGGTTAATCACTAATTTGGTCGGATGAGTTCATTTTTTATATTCTTTGTTTTGATGAAATATCTTCGGATAGAAGGACATTGACCACTTTTTTTGGCCAAAACTAAAAATGTGGCCAAAAAATATTTTTATGGTATTCTAGATCTATTTTGCTTAATATTTAAGTGTAATGACAGAAAAATGTGCTAATTTACATAGTTAACTTTTTACAGAAATTTAAAGTATGGAATAATTATTTTAAACCTATAGAAAAATTTCAAATTTATTGAAAACATAAATTTGAGCTATTAATTAAAAAAAAACAATATTATTGTTATAAATTACTATCCAACATTAAATTTTTAACCATATTTGCTAAATTTTGGAATAATTAAAGAAAATACCCAATTATAATAAAAATTCAGTTTTCCCGAAAATCGCAAAAATTCGCAAAAAAATTACCAGTTGGAAAAAAATCCCACTATTTCCGACAAATAGCTTCATAAAGTTTCATACTGGGAAGAGGTCGGACTTTTTTAAAAGCTCATATAAGAGATCGTAAAGATTTAAGAAGTTATACCAAACATTAAGGAGCGCACAACAGGCTCGATAGAGGCCTAGTTGTATTTCTTCGGATTTGATGTATAGGATGTATATACTAACTAACATAATAGAATCAGAAAACGTACGACGCATAATAGATAAGATATTCGTAAAAAACAGATTCGTAAAAATAAGATTTAACCGCAAATATCTCTCTAAGCGGACACGATATTTATGGTGACTTATTAATAATGTAAAAGAGAAGCAATGTGCAAATTTTCATTTAGCTTCGTCAATCCAAAAAGAATAATTTAAAAGTAAAATTTTGCAAAAATAATTTTACCATTCAAAGCCGTGGCGAAATGTGATTGTATCGCTCTAATTTTTTCCATAATGATAATCGATCATGCAGTGACCTCAGACTTCAGAATTGAAATAGATGATTCGTATTTATTTTCGATTTTTAGCCAAAAGTCGTTTTTGTATATTTTCTTTGAACAAGTACAGAAATTTAAAAAATTATGTAAAATAGCCTTTTCTTGAAATCGGACCAGCTCACGAACGGTAAACCCTAGACTCAAAATATTAGGAATCATTATAAAACAAAACTAGGTACATTTTCCATTCCATACGAAGCGAGTCGGTCTAGTGAACATACATAAGTGTATTTTGCTCATTTACTTCAAAACTACCATTACTCCAAAAATAGATCGTTTCGAGAAAACCTGCAAGTGAAACCAGAGGCCGAATTACCACATACATGATCGAATAAACTTTCTTATCGAAAACGCGTTTCGATATTTGAATTATGCTAAAATCTATTTCCATATCGAATCAATTCAAAAAAGGAAATTACGATCAATTTTACTCGATCACGAATGCGTTAATTTGGTCCCTAGGGCCAGAATTAATTATATAGAAAACAACAATACATTTCTCATCTAAATTTTTATTAAACTATTCCTGAAAACATGAGTTTTTATTTTGATTTTTACAACAAAAAGTACTCTCAAAAGTAAAGTTATTTATATTTTTACTAAATTGCAGCTGAGCAAAAAATGTATTGTTAATAATGCTAGTAGAAGTTGTAATCCTTAATAGGATCAAAGTATTTATCCTATAAAAGTAAATATTAATAAGCAAGTAAAATATCTGTTGTATCCTTTAAAATGTTTAATAATTCTAATTAAAAAAATACTAATCGTAAAACATTAAAAATTTATACAGGCTCAAACTCAAGTTTACAAGGAGAAAATACATGAATTGGAAACGAAAATAAAGGATTTAACATCTGGTAAATGAAATATCCAATATAAAGATATTATTTTTTAAAACAATTCTGTTTTTCCCCACTAGGAAAAATTACCTCGGAAGAAATTAGTGCGACAGCAAGTGCCGAAGTTGATGAACTTAAGGCGAAACTGAGCGAACAAGCTCAACAATTTGAGTCACAAATTGCCGAGAATCAGGATGAACTGCAACGTTTGCAGGAAAATATTAAGTACCTTAAAGATCAAAATGAAGCATTGCAAAAAGAGCTCGTAGCAAAGGATGAGAGTCTCGAAAAGTTCTCTCTATCCGAGTGTGGCCTCGAAAATATGCGGAAAGAGTTGACATTTGTTAAAGAAGAACATGAAAAGGAACGTCAACAAGTACAGGCTGATTTTAACACTAGACTTGAAGAAAAATCTGAAGAAATTAAACGTTTGCTGGAAGAGAATGCAACAATGAAAAAATCCTTGGCAACAATTGAGACCGAGCGAACAAGTTTGGAGGACGAATGTCGAATATTACGCGAAGAGTGCAAAACTCGTAGTTCCCATGTGGAAGATATTAACAATCAATTGGCCAAGATATCGGCTGAATTAGCTATTAAGCACGCAGAATGTGTTACATTGGATGAGATGGTAAAGGCTCAACAACTTGGCAAAGCGGAAGAACAGACCCAATTGGAAGAAAAAATCCAGGAAATTTCTAAACTTAAAGAAGAGGTTGTTAAATTGCAAGAAACAAAGAACACTCTGGAAACAAATCTTAAAAAAGCTCAAGAAGAACTTCTAAAGCTTGCCGAATTGCAAAGCAGCTTTGAAACTAAGCTTCAAGAAGCTCTAAGTCAAGATCAAGATAAAAACGCATCCATGCTTGTTTTAGAACAATCACTCAAGGAATTGCGCTTGGATTGTGAAAAGGTGCAAAATGAAAACAAACAACTAAATGTCAACATCAAAAGCTTGCAAAGTGAGTTAGAAAACGAGAAAGTATCTAGAGAAACTGTGACGAAAACACTTTCGGAAAAAGAAATTTCATTGACTGAATGCAATAAAAACTTAGAAATTGCTCAGGAAACGATTAATAAATTAAAGAAAGAATTGGAAGAGACGTTTAAAAGTCATCAGCAAATAATCAATGACAAAACGAATGAAATTCAATCTCTAAAGGAAGAACTAGGAAAACTACAGGATAAAACAGCAGCTCTTGAAGGTGAATCATCCATTACTGTCCAACAATTGAGTGCCAAAATTAATCAATTAGAAAGCCAAAATAAAAGACTTGAAGAGGATTTAAAGAATTCAACGAACACAATTGAAGATCAACGTCAAAAGTCCATCCAACAAGATGAAGTAATTGCTTCAAAAATGTCCGAACTTAAATCAACAACTACAGCCTTGGAAACCACATCAAAACTATTGGAAAAACTTAAAGGAGAACATGAAACTTCCTTAACTAAAAAGCAAGAACTAGAAGACGAGATTAAGAAAATCGAGGAGAAAAACGCCCAACAACAATTAGATTTAGGAGACTTGGCGCGCAAATTAGAAAGTTCAAATGCCAAATGTGACAATCTAATATCACAGAATGAAGCTTTACAACAGGAAATAATTGCTGCTCGGGCATCCAGTTCAACCATCCACAACGAAGTCAAAAAACTCAATGAAGAAATTCAAAGCAAACAAAATGAAATTTCCAATTTGGTCAGTAACCATGACAAAGAACGTATTGAAATGACGGGACAACTGGAAGAGCTACAGCAAAAATTAGCAAACAACATCAAAGACTTTAATGATGTCAAAGAAGTTGTCCAAAAATCTAAAGAAGAGATCAGCCAAAAAGTACAACAGATTACTGAACTGGAGGAGAAGACTATCAAGCAAGAACTTCAACTAAGTGATAATCAAAGGCAGAGGGAGAACTTGCAAACCAAATACGATGCTTTGGTCAAGCAAAACGAATCCTTGCAACAAGACTTAAACACTCTTCGCACTTCCAGCACAGATTCAAATGCGGAACTTATCAAACTATCTCAAGAAATAGCGAATAAACAGAAAGCTTTCGAAGAACTTTTAGATAAATCTAGTGGAGAACGTGCTACGTTGGAAAGCCAATTACAAGCCAGCCAACAACGAATCGACGGCATGTGCAGTCAAGTCGAAACTCTCACGAATGAACTGAAAAATGTCACAGAAGAAAGTTTCAATCGGTTTGAACTTCTTAAACAGGAGCAGGAGAAGAGCGGTAAGCAAGAATTAGAGATGGCAGATTTGCATCGCAAGCTTGATAGCTTTGTTATAAAATGCGATAATTTGGAGGAACAAAATAAATCTCTACAAAACGATCTAAACACTCTACGCCAAGGATCAGCCGGTTCAAATGCCGAAATTGTTAAACTCACAGAAGAGCTGACCAGCAAGCAAAAACTTTTGCAACAACTCACAGATAAATCCAATGACGAACGTCTAGCATTAGAAAGTCAATTGCAAGAACTCAAACAAAGCATTCAATCTCAACAATCCGAAATGGAAGGTTTGCGTACTGAACTGAAAGCTGTTGAAGATGCTAAAAAAGAACAAATGGCAGAATTTGAAATTGCAAAAAAAGAATTAGAAGCTAAAGCTCAAGCTGAAGTAAATGATCTTAAAGCTGCAGAGAGTGCAAAGCAGCAAACAATTATTGAAAGCTTTGAAGCTCAGCTGAAAAACTCTGAGCAGTCGAAAACATCACTCGACGAAGCTATCAGTAGTCTACAGAAACAAATTCAACTTTTACAGGATGAATTGCTTAAATCTCAATTGGACTTTAAGACCAAAGAGGCCGAAATGCAAAAGCAAATAGAGGCTTATAGAATGGAGAAAGAACAGTTATACACGAATTTGCAGAAAACACAAAATGAAGGATCATCAGCATTAACAAATGTACAACAAGAAAATTCAAGACTTTTACAAAATATTGAAAAGCTAACCCAAGAACTTAAAGACAAAGAAGACTCATTTGTTAGAGTTCACAGTGAAGCCGAGCAGCTGCGTATTATGCAATCAAATACCAAGTCCGAACTTGAATTGCAATTGCAAAAACTTCAGAATGCTCTGGATCTAACGAACGAGGATTGTGAACATAAAACAAAACTGATCGAAGAAGACAAAAAGAAAATAGATGACCTTAAAGCTATGCTAGAAGCCCTTAAACTTTCTAATGAACAAATCTCTGCCACAAACGCAGAACTCGCCGAGGCCTTGGATATTCTGGAACAAGAAAAATGTGAAACTGCCAACATATTTGAACTCTTCGAAATGGAATCTGATCAGAATATGGAAAAATTAATTGAAAAATTATCCAGCCTAAAAGAGGAACTCACCAATACACAAGAGCAACTACGCACAAAGGAAAGCCAGTTCGAAGAAAAACAAAAGCAAATCAATTCAACTGATTCAGTTCTACAAAATACTCAGACTGCTCTAAACGATGCTCAAAAGACTATTATCGAATTGAAAACTCAACTGGGACAATTGCAACAGGCCAACGAAGAACTTCGAGGTCAGCATCAGGAATCAGAAGAAAAACTAAAGCAACAAGAAGATGTAGAACTACAACTTGCGGAGTATAAGAAAATTGTAGATGAGATGGACGAGACGTCTTCTGAAAAATCCACTCAACTTGAGAAACTACAAACCCATATCGCTCAGTTGCAGCAAGAAAAGTCAAAGTTAATTGAAAACGAGAAAACCTTAAAAATTGAATGTACAAGTATCCAGAGAAAACTCGAATTGATGGAAATGGAGAAAACAAAGGAAATTGTTGGTTTAAAACAACGTATTAATGATTTACAGTCGATAAGTAAATTGAAACAAAATGGTGCCGCTGGAGATAATACTGGATCAGAGGTAAATACGCGGTATTCCGTACATTTTTATATATTTTTCATAATAATTTTTTATATTTTTCATCATCAGACTTTAACTGCAGATGATAGTACGGCGCAGATAAATTTCCTTAATTCGATCATTGCCGACATGCAGAAGAAGAATGATACTCTAAAAGCGAAGATAGAGGCTTTGGAGGCGTTGCCAATTGATTTTACTAAGTAAGCATGATAATATAACTTATTTGGTTAATATTACTGTTATATTTACTTTTAAATATTAAAGACCTGCAGCTTTTGAATTAATCGCCAAGAGAAAGCCGGCGCCCCGTGTATTTTGTGATATCTGTGATGAATTCGATAAACATGAAACCGAGGATTGTCCTTTGCAGGCATCAGATGATCGAGATTACTCGCCACCTCCCACAAGTGAGAAAAACAATAATGAACGCAAGGAACGCAAACTCCCAGAACCTAGAAAATATTGTGAATCATGTGAAGGTTTGTTGATAATTACATATGTACATATTTATTAAATGAACAGACAATTTTATTTTATTTTATTAAACAGTTTTTGGTCACGAAGCTGGAGAATGTGATGATGAATGTTATTGATAAAGCACGAGCACTGAGTGATTTATGTTTATTAATTTATATAATTTTATATTAAATTTTATGTTATAATTTCTTTAATTTTAATTTATACTATTTTATGTTTTGTCTGTGGAAACTTTCATTCTAACGATATTTATTGTGATTATTAAGAAATTTGTTAATGTTTCCTTTGTATCCTTGAAAGGAGCCTTATTTTTTGTACTAACTACAATATCATATGTGTATGTAATTTAGAAAGTGATTGTTAATTATTTAGTTTATGTTTAAATACTAATTGTCCATCTTGCTTTCATTTTTATAAACTATGTATACAATTAATAATAAATTTATGTTTTTTTTTTTTCTTATTATAAAACTTATATCAAAGAAAATACTAATTTATTTGTTAGATAAATTTTCAAATACAATTGTAATTAAATCTACAAAAGTAATCAATTAATAAATAATTTCATATTCTAATTTCTATAAATCGAAAATCTAGAAAAAATAAAAACATGACTTACTATAGATCTGGTCAATGGAATATTAATATCCAAGAAAACAAAACACCTTATTTTTTTTATTTATGGAATATTAGAATATGTTGTTTCATTTATTTGGAAAATATAATATTATGAACCGGTAAGTACGATTAAATTCATTATTTCAATCTGAGCATATTGTAATAAGATGATAGTTCATTTTCGGTATTTAAGCTGGAAATGCATATTAAGGTCCGCAAAAAAGAGAATAGATATTTGTTTTTCCCACTTATTTACATTTTTTTAACTAAGTTGACTTTTAAGGATACGTTATGAAAGTGTAGTGACTAATCCTAATGATTTTTAGTATATTTTTATACCCACCATCAAAAAAGATGGGGGGTATATTGCTTTTGTCATTCCGTTTGTAACACATCGAAATATTCTGGGTCATTATTAAATTCTAAGACGATCTAGCCATGCCCGTCCGTCTGTCTGTCTGTCTGTTGAAAGCACGATAGAGTCCGAACGGAATAACCTAGAGGGTTGAAATTTTCACAAATATTCTCTATAGATAAGGTTTGTTTGGTATTGAAAATGGGCAATATCGGTCCACGTTTCCGGATAGCCCCCATACAAGTGGGTCCCCGAACGGGCTTATCTGCTTTAAAAGTACGAGTATAGCGATGAAATTCGACATAAATAAGTTTAATATGAGCCAAAATCTCCCGACCAAATTTTATAAGGATCGGTCCATAATTGACCCTACACCCATATAAGGTCCCTCTAAGACTATAACGACTATAACGCTCATAACTTGCTTAAAAATGATAACAATGCAACGAAATTCGACATAAACAAGTTTTAGGGGAAGTAAAATCTCTTTAAAAAATTTTATGGTGATCGGCTAATAATTGATCCTACGGGGGTAGATGATTCCCCTCAGAAAATTACTTTATAGCTTATAACTTGCTTCAACGAAGGTCAGCATAAACAAGTTTTAGAGGAGCACAAATCTCTCTACCAAATTTTATGATGATCGGTCCATAATTGGCCCTACGCCCTATATAAGCTCCCCTTCAGAAAATGATTTTAACGCTTATAACTTGCTTCAAAATGGTAGTTAAGCAACGAAATTCGACGTAAATAAGATTTAGGGGAAATAGAATATCTCTCCCATATTTTATGGAGATCGGCCCATAATTGGCCCTGGTTCCACTCAGAAAATTACTTTAAAGCTCATAACTTTCTTCAAAATCTCAGTAAATCATCGAGAGTCAACATAAACAGATTTTAGGGGAACTAAAATCTATCTAACAAAATGTATGAGGATAGGTTCATAATTGACCCTACCTCCGATATATGGTCCCCTCATAAAATTACTAAAACGCTCATAACTTGCTGCAAAATAACAGTAAAGCTACGAAATTCGACGTAAACAAGTTTTCGGGGTACTAAAATCTACATTTGTGCCAAAATTTATGGAGATCGACCCATAATTGACTCTACCGCCCATATAAGGTTCTTCTCGGAAGTTAAAGTTTGCTTCAAAATTCCAGCATATCAACGAAATTGACATAAACATGTTATTTAGAAACTAAAATGTCTCTGCCAGATATTAAGAGGCTCGGTCCATAATTGATTTTACCACCATAAAAGGTCCTCCTCATAAAATGGCTTTAACGCTCATAACTATAACTTGATTCAACATAAAAAAACAACTTCTTCAAAATTATACTAAAGCAATGAAGTTCGACATAAACAAGTTTTATAGGAACATAATTCTAATTGTTTTTTTGAGAGTCGGTCCATAATTTACCTTATCCCTTTTAAATGGGTTGACATTAACACCCATAAGTGACGATAAAATTTATCATGAACTACAACTGGGATCAAATCCTTCATAAAAGGCTTAGAAAGCATTGACATAAGTTTTATTGAAACCAAAATCTTAGGAGGATCGGACCAAAATTTACCATAACTAAATTTACAGGACATCAAATCATTAAAAAATTATTAAATATGATAAAATAAGTACTACCATCACCCTGACTATATGTATTACTATTTATATATGACAAATCAGTTTGGAAAAAATACAACAAATGATTACATTGTGGTAGAAAGACACATGATTTTATGGTGGGTATAAAAGATTCGGCACAGCCGAATATAGCACTCTTACTTGTTAAAATTGCAAATATTTACAGGCCGTATTTTATGATTGCTTCATAATATTTAGTTTTTTAATAATAAAACAAGTTAGAGTGCTATATTCGGCTATGCCGAATCTTAAATACCCTCCACCAGCAAGCTACTTTTTATTGAAACCCATCTAACTATCTAATTTTTAGATAACTCGCTAAAATTTTTGTCGAACTAATTTTGATTAGGTCCAGAAAAATTTAGAATGATTTATCTATACACAGAACATACTTATGTCGAATTTTATCCGGATAAAATAATTTAATAACGAATTAAGTGGTATTAAGTGATTTTCAAAAGTTAACCTTATATGGGAGCTAAGACAACTTATGGACCGGACCGGAAAAAATTCCGTATGTCAAATTTTATACCTACATATGTATAAAATGTGCGTTTAATTTTCAGTAATTTTCAGAAATGGTCCTTATATGGGAGTTGTGACCAAATATGGACCGATCCAGAAAAAATTGTATACCTATGTATAAAATGTGCGTTTAATTAATTTTCAGAAATGGTCCTTATATGAGAGTTGTGACCAATTATGCACCGATCAGGAAACAATTTCGTATAATGATTTATAAGCATAAAAAGATCAAGTCTAATTTTACTCCAATAGCTTTATTAATCAATGAAATATGTGCGTTTAGGTGATTTTAGGAAGTGGACTTTATATAGGAGCTATGAGCAATTAAGGGCCTATCCGGAAAAAATTTCTTAGAGTGATTTATGTAATGACAAAACATATAAGTGTCGAATTTTCTCAAGATAACTTTATTTGACAATGAAATATGTGCGTTTAAGTGATTCTCAGAAGTGGACCTTATACGAGAGCTATGACCAATAATGGACCGTTCCGAGAAAAAAGTGGTAAAATGATTTGTATGTACACAAAACTTATTCAAGTCGAATTTTATTCCTATAGCTTTAGAATTCAATGAAATATATGCGTGTAAGTGATTTTCGGAAGTGGACCTTATATGGGAACTATGACCAATTATGGGCCTATTCGGGAAAAATTTCGCAGAGTGATTCATATTTGGGCAAAACATGTTTTGTGTCGAATTTTATCAAGATAGCTTTATTTGATAATGAAATATGTATGTGCTTTTAAGTGATTTTCGTATGTGGGTCTTATATGGGAGTTATGACCAATAATGGACCGATCCGTAAAAAATTTTGTAAAATGATTTGTACGTACACAAAACATATTCAAGTCGAATTTTATCCCGATAGCTTTAGAATTCAATGAAATATATGCGTTTAAGTGATTTTCGGAAGTGGACCTTATATGGGAGTTATGACCAATTATGGGCCTATCCAGAAAAAATCTCGTAAAGTGATTTATGTTTAGGCAAAACATATTTGTGTCGAATTTTATCAAGATAGCTTTACTTGACATTGAAATATGTGCTTTTAAGTGATTTTCGGAAGTGGGCCTTATATGGGATCTATGACCAATAATGGACCAATCCGTAAAAAATTTTGTAGAAAGATTTGTATGTGTACAAAACAAATTTGTGTCGAATTTTATCCCGATAGCTTTACAATTAAATGAAATATATGCGTTTAAGTGATTTTCGGAAGTCGACCTTATATGGGAGCTATGACCAATTATGGGCCTATCCGGAAAAAATTTCGTAGATTGATTTATATTTCGACTAAACATATTTGTGTCGAATTTTATCAAAATAGCTTTATTTGACAATGAAATATGAGCTTTTAAATGATTTTTGGAAGTGGGCCTTATATGGGAGCTATGACCAATAATGGACCGATCCGTAAAAAATTTAGTAGAATGATTTGTATGTACACAAAACATATCCAGCTCGAAATTTATCACAATAGCTTTATTCATCAATGAAATATGTGAGTTTAGGTGATTTTCGGAAGTGGTGATACCGATATATTTGATTGAGTTATTAACGATAAACTAATTTCCGGAATATATACCTTTGTATGGGGACTATGGGAAATGTTGGATCGATTGTAAAGATTTTGAACATAATTGATCACTGCCCTAAAAAAATAAAGTGTGACAAAATTTATTGCAATATCTTTGGTAGTTTCTGAGAAAACTTCAAAAGAATTAGGAAAAAAACGTAATTTTTTTCGAGGTAGTCTGAAATTTTTACTCATAACTTGTTACGTTGTGAACCGATTTTGCTGATTTTCAATACCAAACTGCTTAGGATAATAATAAATATTTTGGGTGAATTTGGTTGATTTCCTTTACTTAGTTTTAACGTGAGCGTGTTTTACACAGACAGACAGACGGACAGACGGACATAGCTAAATCGACTCAGAATTTCATAAGGACCCAGAATATATATACTTTGTTGGGTCTTAGATGAATATTTCTTGGTGTTACACACGGAACGACAAACTTATATATACCCTCTATCACCACTGATGGTGGTGGAGGGTATAACAAGTAGGAAAGTATAGTCGGGCATGGGAATACAACTTGTCGGATGATTTCATTTTTATATGAAAGTTAGTTGTGTGAATTTCATCGCAATAATAATGGTTATAAATTAATTGTGGACATTTAAGGCATTTTTTAAAGTGGGCGCTATGGTCAATTGAGGGTCGATCATTACAAAAATCGGCAATGTCATTTATCTATATATATAAAAATGAATGTGTGTTTATTTGTTTGTGGGTTTGTTTGTTTGTTTGTTTGAAGTCTATAGACGGCTAAACGGCTGGACCGATTTTCTTGAAATTTTAACAGTACTTTCCTGTGTATCTGGAAGGAACTATAGGCTACTTTTTATTTTAAAATTTCAAGTAATTATTTAAAAGCTATTAAAAAAAAGTAATTACTTAATAGCTATTAAAAGTCATATATCTTGGAAACTGGTACAA